AGATGGATGAGCAGCCCATTCATTCCCGCTAACACTCTGATATCACCGACCTCGACGCGGATCCAACGCGGGCCCCCGAAATGTCCTCCACCGCCACACTGCTGCACGGACGGGACAGGACGTGCAGCAGGAACGAGCCCCGCGAACACAAAGAAACAGCAGCCGATTCTTATTTTAAGTGACCCCCCTCCCGTACTTGTGTCCCCCCCCGTTAGGACGGCCAAAGAATCGATGTTCAAACCTCATCTGGATGCTGGTGCTGCGTAGATATCGATTTACTCATGTCTCGTTTTAATTATTGATGAGTGGGTCCGGTCATTATTTGTGTGTGTGTGTGTGTGTGTGTGTTTTGCCCTGACAGCGAACATCCATGTTCAGTTGTGTACCAGAGATCAGTTTGACACCAAGATGAATGAGTTCCTGTGACGGGGGGCCGGGGGGCCTCTCTTGATGTTCCTCTGAGAGCGTTTCTCACTGACCGACCGGCGTCACTGCGCACTGATTCACACCCGATGTTCTCCCCAAGTCCTCTCACACACCGCCGGAGCTTTTGTTTATTAGATTAAGTTTGAGCTGCTTCTCATTTTCTGGGGCGGGAGGCACACACCTCCCTCCCTCCCTCCCTCCCTCCCCCCCGGGAGAAGAGGTGCAGGGTTGAAGAGTTCAGAAGCGTGAATCTGGATTTTCTACTGGCGGCGGGGGAAAGCGGTCGAACGCGAGAGCCGCTGCCCGCTCACGCCGGCTGTGCGACGTGTCTTGACTGAATCGGAGCGATATTTTATCGGGGCTTTATGCTTGAGCATCGCTCTGCTCTCTCCGCCTTTGTGCGCTCTTCTCGGCAGATTGTGTCGTGGTTTCGAGAAGGTGAAACCAAGCCGGGAAAGAAGAGCACGGGTGAGTGACACTGAGTGAGAGAGAGAGAGAGAGGGGGAGGGAGGGGTGGGTGTGGTGGGCTGTCACTCTACAGAAATGTAATTGGCCTTTTGAGAGTTTACACACACACACACACACACACACACACACACACACACACACACACACACACACACACACACACACACACACACCGTTGTCGGCGCTCTGTGGTCGACCTCACCTTACGGCAGCCTCCCGAACACGCAACCACGTGATGCTCCTCCACACCTGCCCGGGACACGTTGCCCCGGGGCATAATGGGCGACGGGCCGCCCCTCGGTGGAGAAGGCGCCCGCGTGTGTTTCCGTTGCCCCGGCGGGTCGTATCAGCGCCGCGCTCAATCTGACGGGAATCTCTTCCGCCCGTCGCTCAAAACAGGATATGAAGCGGGTCCACTTGCTGCGTTATCCACACGCCATCGCCATCGCACTGGTTCCTTTTTTGATTTCCGGTGAAGCTTTTGGTGTTTTTCTGCGAAACGGCAGCCTGTCATTTACATTTTACATCAGCTGGCGTGAATTTCAGCCTTCAGGCTCCGTCTCTCTCTCTCTGTGGGGAAAAAAGGATCCAGGACCACAAAGGTTTCCACATTTGCTGCGTTCCTTTTTCCTTTGAAGACGGCGCTTTGCTTTGATGTAGCGTGACCTTGACAACGGGACTCAAGCTTTAACACCCGTGGGGAGAAGCAGCAGGTGGAGGCTTTCACTCAGGGAAAAAAAGTGAGAAGTTCGCATTCCGACATCTATTCCGACTCAAAATACATTACAGGCCCTCTTTCGCAACCGCATACAACTCCATCATGATGAAATGATAAAAATGAGTTTTGTCAAGCGTGAACGTCAACTTCCCCGGTTGAGAAAAGATAAATAACCTTTTCTAAATGTCAACCGATTTCAATTAAACAAATTCGGCGTTCTGCGAGTTCCGCTGCTTCATCATAAAGAGCGTTTTATATCTCTCCCGGTGCGATTTCCCGTCGGTGATACAAAGCCGAGGGGGGAAAAAAACTTCCCCCGCCGTAACCGAAGGAGAGTTCAACCAGAGGGCAGCGTCGCTCCGAGGCCTTTCGTCACCTTTGACCCTGTTACCTTTTTAGTGCATCGATGAAAGGCGGGTCTGCAGCAAAGGGACAGGCGGAGACACCCGGAGGCAGACGAGGAGAGAAACTCCGGTCAGACGTCCCCGCGGCACGATGACACTTCGTTGTCACATTAAACGCGTGTGCAGCAGCAGGTGTAGGTTGAGTAATCTCAACTCGACAATTCTATTTTGACTCCGCGTTTCCCTTTTTACGCCGTGGCTGAAATGACCGAAAACAACGAAGCAGCGTCTGTTATTATCCAATGTGGCGTCTAAATGCCACATTATTATTATCTGTGTTTTTTGTGTGAATAATGCAAATGCAATGTCGGGTACAACAAAGCAGCATCCGCAGTGACCAATGGAATATAATGCACATGGAATAATGTGCGTCCTGTTTCTGTAGAGAGAAAATAGCCAGCATAACAGAATGAATTCACCACTTCATATATTTGTTTTCGGTCCATCTATAGTCTCTTGTTCTCTGTTTTGGTCCTAATAATAGTAATAATATAATAATAATAATAGTAGTAATAATTCAGAGAAGCAATGAATATGAGGGCAGAGGGACAATACAAATATAGTAGGTAGTAATAGAATATCATTTAAATAAATTAGATCATTGAAAACAAACAAAAATGAGAGAAATGGTAGAAAAAAAGAGTACGCCGTCTGAAAAATGGTTCGTGCCCTAAAACCAAAAGACGAGCTTCAGGAAGCTTAAAATATTTGTTTGTTTTGTTGTTGTGGTTGTTGTTGCACAAACCGGACCACCGTTGTTGTTATTTGATTTCAGGACGTGATCCCAAGAAGGTGTTTGGAACGACACCCAGCAGCGAAAGCTAAACACAACACCTTGGTGTGCGCATGCGGCCACATACGCGTGTTTGTGCAGGTTCGGTGACTGCTGTGTTTGTGCGTCGATGCGCTGCTCTGGTGGGTGTGTGCGCCAGAGGCCCACGCTGTTTGGGGAGGTGCTTCACATGAAGGAATCCTTGTAGTTCTTGTAATGAATCGCTGTAAAGATTGGTTGTTTGACGGTATCAGCCACTTTTGCGTGTGTGTGTGTGTGTGTATTCAAGGACAGGTTTGTTCGGTTAACACAACTATCAGGTAGCAAAACATCGTGTTTATGGAACATTAGCCGTGTACTTTGACGTGATTAATGAGGTATCGCATTAGGAACACGGTGTGGAAACGGAGCTGAAGTCTTTTTCAATGAAACATGGTGTTTGTTTAATATGTTATGGTCCCGTTTAGACTAGAATTGTATTTTTTTGGATACAATTTTATGGTGGCTTGTTTGCGGATCCGGGGAAACAAAACCCACGCTGCTGCACGGCTGAGCGCTCAGTGGACTCTCGTCCCTCTGCGGCGCTGCTCGACCCGCCGGCCGGCTCTTACTAACAAGCCGGCCTTCGCCTCCTTGTAGGTCAGCGCTGCATGTGGTCTGCAGCCTGATCCATATCCAACACACACACACACACACACACACTCTGAGAGCGTAGAAATCAGCTGAGCCAATGTAGAAAAAGGCTTGCGGTGTGGGGTCCCCTGACCTCTGACCTCTGTGGGTGTCACATGACTTATGTGTGTATGTACTGTGCATGTATGTGAAGACGTGGTCGGTCGTACATTTAATCTTTGTTGCTTTTCCGGTCAAATAGTATTTTACTTTAGCTACAGACTATTAATCAATGTGCACAGCGTGTGTGTGTGTGTGTGTGTGTGTGTGTGTGTGTGTGTGTGTGTGTGTGTGTGTGTGTGTGTGTGTGTGTGTGTGTGTGTGTGTGTGTGTGTGTGTGTGTGTGTGTGTGTGTGTGCGCGTGTGTGCGTGTGTGTGTTATCGGCTCTCAACAACAGCCTAAATTCTCATTTTGGTTGCGTGTCTGTGTGCTTTGTGCGTGACCATTGTGCTGATGTCTATCAAACATGTTCTGCTGCCTGAACTAAAAGGAACATGCAATAAAAATAAGTCCAAATGTCCCAGAATGTCTTTGCTCTGGTAGTTCTGGTCAAAAATAGTTTTAGCTATAAATTACGTGAGCCGTTTAGAGACTAAAATGCGTTGCACTAAAATAAAAAACGCAATGAACCTACTTTCAGAACTCCGCAGAACAGAGACTCAAATCTGCGAGACTCCGTTGCTCCACTGGTTGATTTTCATTTTAAAGTAAAAGGTTGATTCTGCTTCTCAGCCCAGAAGGGCTCGAACTAATTAGTACTTCTCTCTGACGCGCTCAGAGGAGTTCATGTGAAAAGGAGAGGTCACATAATTATAGCCCTGGGAAAACCCGGGGCTCTGTTTGTGTAGTAGTGTGTGCTTGTGTGTTGCTCGTGAGATTCTAAGTTGTGTGGTTTTATTTGAATGCCTTTTGCGAGTCGACCTCACTCACGTTTTTGTAAAGGCCAGTGTGATGAAATGGGACTTAAACTCTTCTGGCTTTTGCTCCAAATTAGAATTTATCCTTCCCGCCTCTGGGACCAAAATACATTTAAAATGAAAACTCTCTTGTGTGAAGACACAACAGAAGAAAGAGAACCCAATAAACTGGAAAAGCCCTCTGGGACAAAGCCTCCTCGACCTCCTTAAGCTTCCATAAGGAGCTCGAAACCCTCTTTTTGTATCCAAACTGCACCTTTCAACAGGAAACACCACACTAATGGATCAATTACCTCTCGGTAGCTATTCATCCGTTTTCCAGGAGCTAACATCGCAAACTGCTCTCAAAAAGACCGTCTCCCCCCGTCTACCTTCACACACGTGGCTCATTCCACAAGGAGAGAGGATCCTGATTGGCTCAGTGTGGTTTGTCATTTCCTGCCTCTCTTAGCAGGTGTGCTAAAGGTAACAAGCAAGTAAACAGGCTGCAGATGAGGCCGGATCACAGTTAATCCCGAATGAGCTTAATGTGTTAACGGGATTGTGTTTTCTGACTATGCAAAAGCGTCTTAATATATATATATTTATACATATATAATGTCGTTTTGTTTTTTCTCTCCAGCATGTGGAAAGGCCTGAATGTCAACTGCACAGACAGCACGGGATACACACCGTTACATCACGCTTCCCTGAACGGACACAGGTGAGAATGTCTTTGTGTCTTCCATGTCAAAATAATAGTTCATGTGGCAATGGCTTTGTTTAAATATGATATGATTTACAAATTAATTCATTTTTTTATAGAGCGCTAAAATGCCCAGAATGTACAATAAATAGCGCGGTCAGGAAAGAGACAAAAAAAAAATAATAATTCCAATAAATTAGCCAAAATAGCGCCCAAAACTTCCAATCTGGCATTTTGTGGAGCGACTAATAAGACCGTAAAGAGTTTTCAAAGAATACAGTAACCTGTTGGAAACAGACGGCAACCTGGACGTCCCAAAGGAAGCATTCTGATGCTGAGTAGCGAGGCCCCTGACCCCCCCCCCCCTCCCTCCCCCCACCCCCCCCATTGGTCCACCTGGGCCTGCTGAGACATCGGCTCCACAGAGTGGATCGGCTGCGAGTCCGCTGTCCCGGCTCGGCGCAGCTGAAGGATTAGTGATGTGTTTTGGGGGGCAATTATGTGGATTTCCTCCTTTAAATCAGCCAGAGAGGAGGGGGAGAGGATGGAGGGAGGAGGGGAGGAGGAGAGGAGGGGGGGGGAAACGTAGCCTCCAACTGGAAATCGGGACGCCAACAAAAAGCTCCGGAGGAACGATTTAACGTTTAGGTGGGAAATTATAAAGAGAACTGGCAATTAAGATAAAGACGGAGGAAACGTGCCAACAGGCTGCGCTGTATTCAGAGACTCGCTTTATTCAGAGACTCGCTTTATTCAGAGACTCGCTTTATTCCAGCTGCTTTCAACAAAACGCTTTCTGGTGGCGGGAGCTCGGCGTAAAGCTGGATGTTCCCATGAGATCCTCCCAGTGAGAATCTTCTGTACCACTGCCGCTTAAACCTGAGTGAGCTTCACCAAAATCCCATTAATTATTAAATATCAAAGGCGTTCATTAAGCGTCCCGGGCTCCTCCTGGGAGAGGCGATGCCCTTCTCTCCTCGGTTTCTGCCCCTGACATTTCCAATGCAAATGAAGGCCTTCACCTTTCCTCCTCAGACGGGGCTGACGGCTCCAGCTGCAGACTTCCTATGAAACACTATTACTGGCATTAAAACCTGAGCAGCAGCAAGCAAAATGGCAACCCGGGCGCTAAGACATCTTCATTAGAGGGAAACAGTCTTTTGTCTTTTCCAAGACGTTAATAATTTCCAGTTGAACTCCCTCGGTTTAGTCTGGGTGCGTTGAGCAGGTTGTTGACCTTTTTGATTTTGTGCATTCAGTTGTGAGGGGAAATGGACATCCTGTTTCTCTATTTCATAAACTACATCCCCTTTATCTGTTTTTGCTCTTGAAGGTGCTGGAACTGTTGGGATTTGATTTAATCGAGTGTAGGCTGAGTTAAAGAGTCTTTTTTGTGTTTTTTACCGTCCGCTCCGTTGACCTCTGTGTCCGTGTCTTGTCTCCCAGGGACGTGGTCCTGAAGCTGCTGCAGTTCGAGGCGTCCACCAGCCTGGCCGACAGCAAGGGGTGCTTCCCGCTGCACCTGGCCGCCTGGCGCGGAGACGTGGACATCGTCCGCATCCTCCTCCAGCACGGGTCCTCGCACTGCCGGGTCAACCAACAGGTGAATGCCGCCATCGAACGTTGTCCCCAACGCCGTCCGAAATGTCTGCTTGTTAAATGGTGCATCGCGCTGGTTATCCCTTTTTTATTGTGGTCTGCTCTGCAACGGCTCTAAATGGCTTGGGCCCTGACCTCTGACCCCATCTCTGGGGTCATCAGAATTTTCTGTCTTCCTGTTGCGTAACCGCTGCTTACATGTTAAATCATCAACCGTGGCAGAGAGTAGTGAGACACCTCCCCCCCCCCCCCTCAGGACAAGAAGAAAGGTCACGTCGGTGTTTTGAAAGCCGCTCCGTCGCGACGCTCGTCCGTCCGCGCTGCCGGCGCTCGGATGATGTCACGAGTCGTCGTTTTTTCGAGACGCACGGAAAGCGTTGATCGCTCGGATGCCTCTTTAAATACTCCCACTCTGGATGGCGGCGCAGTAACGGACCCCCGGGGTCGCTGGGGCGTTATTTACTCTGCACAATAAGCATAGTTTCCTCTGTCGACCATTAGCCAAGTGGTTTCCCTCTGAGGGCCTCATTGTTTCCCGTGATGAACGGCGTCCCGTGACCATTAAATGGAGACGGTTGTCAGCAAGTGAGCACGGGGTCATTTTCTCTTCACCCCGTCAATGATTCGTTGAGCTGCTGATTGAGACAAAACTGTAGGTTGCGTAGTTGGTGTGCGATCCTGTGTGTTGCCCACAGAACATACAAACAACACCTTTTTCTGATCATTAATAGTCTGCGATGAAATGAATCATATCGTTTTATGCGTATTATAAAGGACCGACGTTTGAGTGTGACTAAAGGCAAAACTTTCGGCTGGCGTTTTCTTTCCTTTTTTCTCCAGCAACGAGCCTCCGTAACAGCTTAAGTTATTTTGTTCTCTGATTCTCCAAATCTTTGGAATTCAACCATGAATAAATGATATCAATTAAATAATATTCCCTGATTGGGTGTTTTAATGCTGGTGGCCAGGAGAGGATCATTAGTGCTCCAATCTCTTGCGTTGTTGTTTTCATGAATATGAAGACCATATATATACATATTTGTTAACATTTCACCTCCTACGTATTAATAAACACCAGCTGTAGCACATATTTTAAATGTGGCTACCTGTGTATTTAATGATGCTGCATGATGCGTATTTGTGCAGTACTTTTGCAGTCCTGATACAGCTGTTCTGAGCTTGCAGGCATGAATCCGAATGCATGATTTATGCGGCGTCGCGTGTGTTTACGGCGCCCCGAGCTCCATATTTACTCGCTGTCCGTCTCGTCTGCTGTGAGAGGCAGAGGCTGCATACGTTGGTCAGGTTGATATACGGACTCCCACGCGCTGTCGCACACATCAGCAAGGCTCACAGCAGCGAGCCGTCGGCACCACGACGTTACTACGATACTACGATAGTGTGTTTTTTCCAAATTCATTGATAACAGCTTGTGATGTCACAGGGTCGAAATTAATAAGACATCCATCACGGAGACTTTCCAGACCCGCATCTCCAGGGAGTCTACTGAGCTTGAACTCCTCCCGCCGACTCTGCTTATTCCCAAATATATAATATGATTATAATTAATAAATTATCTGATCAGCAGCATGGAATCAAGGGAAATAATAATAGGAGCGATTTGCAAGGAGCGCTGCAGCCCTGTGGACACATGCATGTGTGAAATACTTCCCGTAGGCCTTTTCCCTCCTGGTGCAGCGAAGGCCTTCGGGGAATCCAGAGGCTGTGTGAACTAAAACAAAGGTGAAAGGTCACAAAGTCGCTCGCCTGCTGTGTGTTTCCACGAACGTCTCCCCGTGTGCGCTGCACTCGTGGTATTTCATGCCCCACAACGCACACATGCCGCTGCCGCAGATGAAACCCGACGCTGGGAACACGCAGCGCTCTGAGAAACTGCCCTGGGAAAGTCACCTAACGGCACGCCAAAACGCGCGCGCGCACACACACACACACACACACGCACAATGACTCCCGCGAGGCCTCTGCGTGTTGATCGGGATGTTAAATGGAGACACTGAAAAACATTTTGCCGCGATTTCCTCTTAAGTTGCTGATTTTGTGCTATTTTAACTACGGAGGAGCAACAGCCGAGCAGTTGGGGATCTGGGGATTTGCTCAAGGGCACTGCAGCAGTGTGAATCCTTTTACCATCAGACCAAAGCCACTGCTGCTCCGCACATCTCCCAGTCGTATGTCTGTGGTCAAGAATAACACAAAATTTCACAATGTTTTTACTGTAAAATCCACTCATATATTTTTCAGTGTGACGTGCTGATTTTTTTTTTTTGATAAATAGTTCTTCAACTTTTTTATGGCTGAAAGAAACTCATTTTAAAAATAAATCAATTTTAGGAGACAGAAAAAAGATTCCTATCCCCAAGCGAGGCCAGCTAGCGTCTACTTGGAGAGTGCAAGCCTAGCTTTAAACGTTAGCTTCATCCGCCAACTTTAGACGCAAAGCTTTTGGTATTTCTTTCTGCAAATGTGTATCTTTGACCAGCAAAGAGGCGCACGTGCTGACTTCTCAATGCAGAGGATAAACGGAAGAACGCATCCACGTTCGGCCTCGAGGCTCCGGGTGTTTAAACAAACAACCCCTACTACGATCCTTAAACACTAACAAGTCCCTGTGGAAACGGCGCCGTATATGCGCCGACGGCCATTTGCGTTTGGGTGTCATCTCAGCGCTTGGCAGCAACACGCGGAGCGCCGGACGATACCGGAAAGCTGTCGTAATGGAAATGCATAGCTGGCTCTGGGAAGACGGCAGCACCGGCAGTCTGTGTAGTCATTACCATCCTGTTGGAGGCTTAATCCTGGAAACAAATGCTATTAAATGTCTACCGAACATTCTCGCCATTGTCTCGTTTAGTTTTTGTGGCGCTTTTTCTTGTATCTTCATCGTCGCTCAGACGGTAATTATTCAAATGTCACTTGTTCTGAGCTCTTTAATCTTTTAATTAGCTCAGTGGCTGTGGTTTAACCCCACAATTTTCCTGAGTGAAAATGAGCAATCCTCCCTAATTCCTGTCTAATACATTAGTTCCCGACCTGATCTCAGTGCTTAACAGGAAACTGAATAGTGACCTTTTTATACAATCAATGATTCCAAATACATCTGAGCAGCTCATCGTTTGAGAGATGGTAAGGAAGGAATTTGAATGCTCCTTTTCTAACTTTCTTTGGTGTCCACGAGTAGATAACCGTCGAGTCTTTGGTGTAAAATGAAACCGTCGTAACTTCCGGCTCCAGTCGGGGCCAGAAACTCGTATTACATACAAAGCAGAGGACGGCTTATTTGGGTTTCGAGTTGAATTTGGTCTGCTGAGAATCCGCTTTTCCCCCTCGGAGTCGGGCAGTCAGCTCCGTCTTCACGCCGAATGAGTTTTCTAAGAAACGTATTGGCACATCCTCTAAAAAGCCCAGATTTATAGTGGTGCATTTGCGCGAGTCTTTCTGCAGAAACCCGACATTCGCTCCAGTACGCGTGAAGGTTTAAAGGCTAAACATTTAATCATGCACCTTGTTTTAATCTTGTTTACTCCTGTGTTTTCTCGGATGGAAACGAGAGGAGAATAAACACCCTTCGGGGTCTTCAGAGTGCTGCAGCATGAAACCTCACTGTTGTACTCTGAGCACCAGGTATTCACATGATGAACGATGGCGATCCGTGTGTGCGTCTTTTGGAGCTCAGGGATGAAGAGAGTGTATATAAACACAATGGATTGAATAATTAAATAAGATGAAACGTAATTGAACCCTTGCTGAAGATGAGTCACTCCGATGGAAAAATGCTAATACCCGACTTCCACACAGGAAAGGAGCAAATAGAGTTTATTAAGTATAACGCAATCAACTATTACACCAGTAAATTGTGATGAATGTGAATTGCAGAGAGCACCAGGGTGTGATTATCGTGCAATCGGATCCGCTCCGGAAGCTTCAACATTTGTTTTTTTGCCCCTCGCAGCATGGGGGGGGGGGGGGGGGGCTCTTTCTCTCTGTTATTCACACAAACAAGTTCTCTTCATCCCTTCACTCACTCTGAGGGGTTCGTGAAAGGAGAACGTGAGCCGAGATCTGAGCAGCCGGGCTGATTTATCCGGGAAGTTTGAGAGGGAAGGTATTTGTACAGATGTGGCACGTCTGCATTTTGACGCATGAGCGGCAATATTATCAATCGTCAATGGCCGAGCGCCGTGGAGACGAGAGCTGGTCTTGAAAAAGCAACTCACTGTTCGCTGTGTTCATATTTTCCATTCGGCCTGACATTGTGTTCACGTTAATCCTTTGTTAAAATGTGTTCCATGTTGATATTTGATAAGTTCTACAAGTTTCTCTGCGTGGTGGAAATAGACTCCATGTGACGTCACAGATCAACGGGCGCAAAATGACTCCATTCCTCTGAAAAAGCCCCAAACAGTTCTATTGTGTCGCAACGACCCGGATGAATCCACTGATGGTGTTTTCTGACAGTGTGTATCTCGCTAACCACTCGGCTAAAACCAGGAGAGATTGATGTCTTTGCTTTGTTGACGTTAGATGTCGCGGGACGGATTCCTACTTTCTCTCCTTTTTCTGAATAATTCCTTTCTGTTTTTCCTCCTCTTTCTTCTCTCCCTTTTACATACCTCCATCCTCTCACCCACCTTGCCCCGCCTTCTTATTCCCTTTGCCATCGATCACCTTTTCCCATCATTTGCCTCTCACCTCTCCTGTTCCACCTGCCTCACCTTTTTGACTTTTACTCTCCCCCTCCACCAATCCGCCTCTTCCGTTCCGTTCTGCCACAGAACCACGAGCGGGAGACGGCGCTTCACTGCGCGGCCCAGTACGGACACTCGGAGGTGGTCTCCGTGCTGCTGCAGGAGCTGACCGACCCCACCATGAGGAACAGCCAGCAGGAGACGCCTCTGGACCTGGCGGCGCTGTACGGACGCCTGCAGGTCAGCGGAAGTGCTTTTAATGGAGTTTAATGGAGAAGAATTCTATATGTTTTATGCTGCAGAAGCCAGACGTTTAAACATCTTCATCATTCTTAAAGATTAGCGCGTTCATCTTGAACTTAAGGCACACAATCTCGTATGTATTGGGTGGGATTCTGAATTGTAAGATATAAAAAAAAACACATTAACTGATAAGCTCACATAAAATAGAATGAACGTAAGGTGACGACATGATATTTAAGCTGCAGTACATCCAGCCAACAGCATCCAACCCAGTGCTCATTTAAATTGACCCTTTAGTTTTTACCTGGAAGACTCTTCCCCGGCGGGCACATGAGGATTCAACAGCAAGAGAGATAAAGTAGTCCTGATCCTGATGGACTCGACCTTTCGCTGTGTCCAGAGGGGAGAAGCTGTAATTTCCATAAAGATACCCAGAATGATTCAAGCCTTTTGAAATTAATGACAACGTCGCCACAAGCATTGGCTACAGGTCGACAGAAAGGGCAGCGTACCACTAACTAAGGGAGATTTCATTGCAAATCCTGCAAAATGTGGGGAGGCTCGAACTGTACCTTGGTTGATTCATTAAAAAATGGCCGATATGCAAAGGAAAAACTTCCTTGAATGCTTCCTGTTCACATGCAATCACAGTTTCTCTCTCGCTACGGCAGCGAGTAATTGCAGTCGAGCCACGCGGCTTCAACGTGTGAATGAATCATTTATAAATCTCTCTCTCTCTCTCTCCCCCTCTTGCATAAGAAAGAGAGGGAAATCCCTCTGGTGGAAGCTGCTGCTGCTTTATGGAGACGTAACCGTCACGGGGCAAAAGTTTAGTGTGCGCACACATGCAGCACACACACACACACAGAAGGAGGAAGCTTTCGATGATCGTACACGATCAAAGAGGCTCCACTGCCTCCGAATACCCCCGAGTTGACAAGTCTGTTTTAATTCCAAGATGTCCAAGTATCACAGTGTACTCTGTGTAATTTTATCGATCCATCATCATCTCTCTTCCTTACCTGTTCTGATCTGCCGGTCAAGCTGTCGAAGAATTTGCCAAATATTTTTGTACTACTAGAAAACGGGTGTTGACTTTCTAGTAAGTGACTCACGGCCCGCTGTCTCCAAACTCAGGTGGTGCGCATGCTGGTGAGCGCTCACCCCAACCTCATGACCAGCCACACCCGCCGGCACACGCCGCTTCACCTGGCCGCACGCAACGGGCACCGCAGCGCCGTGCAGACCCTGCTGGAGGCCGGCATGGACGTCAACTGCGTGGTAAGAGAGCGGGATCCGCGTCCTACACGTCGGCGCCGGAGGGTTAAACGGATCTCTGCGGAGGCCTCACGGGCAGAAATGAGGAGGCAATTAATGTTCCTTTTGACGAAATCTGATTTGGAAACCGGTTGGTGATGTTCTTGTACGACAGGAATGACGCGGTTGCCAAAACTGATCCACGGGGATGTTGTTGGCTCTTCTTCAACAGGAAGTAGTTCTCCTGTAAACTGGTGGAAAACCTAAATCATTATCTCCAGGACACCATTGTGGTCGTTTCACGGCAAATAAACTTTCAAACATTTACTGTACAGATGCAGGAAGAAGTTTAACAATTCTGGTCTGCAATTATATGTTCTTGAACCGAATCAACTGTAACGTACCTCTGAGGTTCCTCTTCTCCGCTGCAAGAGAATATTTTAAATCCTGTTTTTAAGAAAGACAGCTCGGCTTTGTTTTTGGCGTAAATAACCCACCACGGGCATAAATGCTCGGCAGATTCTTCCTTTTGAAAGTGTGTGTGTGTGTGTGTGTGTGTGTGTGTGTGTGTGTGTGTGTGTGTGTGTGTGTGTGTGTGTGTGTGTGTGTGTGTGTGTGTGTGTGTGTGTGAGAGCATATATATGCGTCTCATGCCTCCCGTGGTGTGGTGATGGAGAGGGATGAATAATTGATTGGGAGGAAAGATTTAAGGGAGCAGCAGGAGGATGAAGAGGAGGAGGAAGAGGAGGACAGGCTGTTCTGTAAGAGAGGTCCTCTTTACTCACAGCACTTCTTACCGCTCACTGATCTGTCACGCTGTCCGGGCCGCTCTCCCCCATCTGCGTTTGGTCTGACTGCTTATTCCGAGTCCTCCGGGTGATTCAGAAAGCGCTTCGTCCCGACCCGTTTTCAGCCATTTGTTTTTCGTGAGACCTTGTCAAATAACAGCCGCGCTTTGCTGCTTCCTCCGACGCTGCTTTCTTTCTCTCGGGGCGATTTCCTCCCACTGTTTGACTCGCTCGTATAGAATGTTAAGGGGCCGTGTTTATTCATTTCTATACTTTTTCAATCGAGGTCCCTTTTGGTTATTCACGTATATCACGTCTATGAGATTCACCTCCTCAAGACCTCGTGCACGTTATAAGAACCTATTTTACACGCTTCCGCCGCGGCCGGGGGGATAAAGGACACGTCATGCGACCCGGCTTCATGAACCCCGACCTGAGCACCGATTGGATGACAGGTGTCATTTAGTTCACACTCGTAACAAGGTTGTGATTGAGGTTTCAGAGTCTTGCACAAATAGACATTGTACAGGTCTTTATAAAGTGAAATATAAAGATTCTCATGTGCACAGTTAAGAAATAGTGTAGAAACTGGCTGGTTTAACGACTATGACGTGAATCTTTGACACACGCATCTATAATGATTTGTGTTGTGGCATTCTATAATCATAGCCGTACATATCTGCAATGCTTTATGAACGTTTTGAGATGTTTTCTTTATACTTGTATTTCCTGTTATATGAGCTGGGCGCTTTAATTCTACACAATAAACTACATCAGTACCACTACGATAGCTGGATTCCTCTTGTCTTCTCATCCAATGATGCAGTAGTTTGTAAAAGAGAAGAAGGAAATAAGGCTTGTAGTGTTTTTTTTCAGTGCATTTGTCTCCCGTCGCTGAAGAGAAGGAATTTACTCGCTGCACTTTAGTTGTGCAAGTTGCATCTTCACCGATGACAGCGCCGCCTGGACACTCGGGGCTACTCACAGATGGCCGTCCTTTTAGATTGTCACCAGTGGGAAAGATGTGTGTGTGAGAACGATCGTAAAGGTCAGTAATTGGATTCGAGCCATATAGTTCTGTCTGAGTGTGAATGAATAATTTATAGAAGCAGTTCCGTCTCTCTCTCTCCTTCTATGAATGTTTCCATAGTAATGAGGGGAAATCCTCACGGAGGAACCTGCTGCTGGCGCGGGCAGGTGGCCAACAGCGCAGGGCAGAAGTTTAGTGTAAACACACACACACCAGACCCCCCCACCTTCTGTAAAAGTTCAGCAGTTATACGTCCCTGACAGCAGTCGTGACACGGAAAGTCATCCGCCTTTCCCGCTTCCTCGTTGCATCACTGCACAATCGCCATGGGAAACGGGACGGGAAGCTGGGCGGAGAGGACCGCAGAGGGAGGCCAGTGGTTTGTGAGGGAAAAGGGGGGCGTGGTTCATCGTTTCCTGCCCTCCCGCCTCCTCTCACTTGCATTCGGGTAAAAGGTCCTTTGGTTAAACGACCACTGTCTGATGCGGTCAACGGAGCTGTGACCCCCTAACACTCCCGATAGAGAACCGGATTATCGACCTTTGACCTGTTTGGAGGACGCAGGAGTGGCCCCCGTCTGGCGTGCCGTCCCGTGGCGGCCGCGGAGTTGAATTTCCCGGGCGCCCGTCAGCAGACCTGGCTGTCCTCCAGATAATTCGTCTTCATTAAGGAGCTCGGTTCGGTCCGGGACTTCATCCGTGTGGTCAGGCAGCCGTGAAGGATGCGACGGTATCAGCATATGTATGTAGCTGAGTGTGTCTGTGTGTGTGTGTATTGGTGCGTCTCTGGGTAGGATACAAACATGCATCCATGCAATGTGAGTCTTTTGTCTCCCTGGTGGGGATTTTAGCTTCAAGGTGTACGCGGCATTCTGTTTATGAGACGCACGGAAACGCGCTGTCCCACAAAGCCTCCTGCAAAAATGTGACCGCTTCAGTGAAGCAGCCTGGCATTGTTGGCATATTGCATTTGACATACAACATTTAGCACCTATAGCTCGCTATACCACTGATGTGCGTCGTCATATATAAGTGAACGAGAGGGGCTTTTAAAAGTTACTATAAAAATACGTCGTTGCGTTGCTTTGTGTTCTTTTTAAATCCTCCCTCTGATCGTGACCCTCTGTTCTGTTCCCCTCGCCGTGTTGCTCTGATAAAAGGGGGCTCGTTGAGCGCAATCGTGTCTCTCATCTCCCTCACCAGGCCGCCTCCCCCGTCGCCGTGGTTTCCCTGTGTTGCATCATACCTGTGATGCCCCCCAGACGTCACGGGCACTGATTCAAGGTTGATACGGGCCGGACTGTGGCGACCGCTGCTCGAGTGGCGGGTTTGAAACCGCTGTGGGAATGTGACTCAATAAAAGAGGCATTGCATCAGATCTACGTACACCTCTGCGTTTGACGTCTGTTTGTGTTCACTTGTTAACCCGCTCTGTGTCCCTCTCCCAGACGGAGAACGGCAGTGCCCTCCATGAGGCGGCTCTCTGCGGGAAGACGGATGTAGTTCGCCTTCTGCTCGACTCAGGTGGGTCTATAAATACATCCGGAAAACTGTACTTTTCCCTCTGGGAACTCTCAGTTATGGAATCCTAGACCTTCAACTCAGCTTTTGTTTTGGCAAATTTTTCTCCATTTGTAAAAGGGGGTGCAGAAAGTCCAACAGGGTATTTATTAGACGTGATGTCGCTTTCTGATGATGCGTCACGGTGGCTCGGGACAGAAATGACACAGACGGCACATTGACGCTTCTCTTACTCAGAGCGGAGTGACTCTGAGCGGATTGACTCTGAGCGCGGTCGCCCTTTGATAGCGCCACCAGCGCTCCACCCACTTCCCTCCAGCGCTTCCTGTTTCCCGCAGCGGACGGCCACGCGACCTCTGACCTCGATCCTATTAACATCCGGGACAAACAAGGCTTCGGAGGCCTGATTCAATAAACTCCAACCCTACAGAGTGTGTGTGTGTGTGTTTTGGGGGTAGAAGGTAGTTGGCGGATGTGGAAATGTACATATCTGATGGGCACTTTTTTCCGACCAACTAATCTTAGAAAAGCTTTGTCGAGCTGTAACGCATCAAAGCTTTTTGTTATTCGTGAGCTTTGCAGAAGCTTGTCGAACGTGTTTGTTGCCGCTTGCAGTCTCTTCAGAGCTCAGCTTACAGGTTCATATTTACTGTTAAGAATTCTCATCTCACACCTTTTAACATCAAGCGCCCGAGTGAACTGTTCATTCTATTCTGTTTTTGAATTTAAAGTGGAGAAAAGACGTGTGACGATTCTATTATGTTTGTTAGATGTTTATACAAAGTAGGAATGAGAGGAAATGCTACTTCAGGTCCAAATGAGCTTTCTCTAACCTTTGGTCCATATTTCATTCGTGGCGTCCAGCAGAGTGACCGGAATGTCATTTATTTTTTCTCTGATGAATTTAACCCACTCGCACAGGAAGGGATTAAAAGTGTGAAATAGGGATTTACTGTAGAGGAGAGATTTTTCTATTTTTTTTAAATTCTGCTCACAATTGAATGTTTGTGCGAAAGCCTCTTGGTTGTGTGCGTTTGTTTTCCTTGAACTTGTCATTGTGCCGAACTGTGTGCTCTTTGACAACAAAGCAGATAAAAGAGTCTTCACATAAAATCCCACATCCGTCCTCTGGTGACTAAAGCTCATCTTTTGCTGACTGGAGTTGTGTGACTGGAGTTGTGTCAATTTACTTTGACCCGAGTTGTTGTGTTGCCCTCTGTAGTTCCCGCGTATCAATCTGTGTGTACTGTGTGTTTGTTTGTGTGTTTAAGAGATCGACACTAATCTCAGAGACAGCCGGGGGAGAACCGCTCTGGAGATCCTGAGGGAGCATCCAGCCCCGAAATCCCAGCAGATCACTGCTCTCATCCAGGGTAACACACACACACACACACACACGCGCACACACAGATGAACACTGTGGATTTTGAGGAATAATATATTTGCATACAGTAAATGCAGTACAACATGAGAGCGGTTCATTAGTTCAGTAAAGTTTAAAAGAGACAGAATCCAAATAAGTTGTTTAAGATCGTGAGCTTCATCAAAAACTAAACTTGACCTCCTGACTTTCCCATGAAGTTGTATCGGTACCTGTGAGCTCTCTGCAGGGAGAGGGAGACGGAACAGTCACGCAGATCTTCACACTCCCACAATACCGCGTTCTCCCCTGTTCTCTCCCACTGTCTCTCACTGTCTCACTGGCCCAGTCGGATCTTAACCGGTTGTCTGCGGGAATTCTGGACAGAATGTTTGCGGTAACTTGAAGGCAAACCTACAGGGAGAAGCACTGAATGAATCTCAGGAATGATAGAAATTAGCCACAGTCTTCTTTTTGTGTACATAACCGCATGAAGCCGACATTAAACACAGTGACGCAACGAGCACAGCAGTTCAGTTGTAATTGCCGATTCCCGTGTCTTATAAACTAACGCGTCTGACACACAAACCGCTCTCGTCGACCTCGTTTCCTGCGTCATGCTCAATGTCAATGTAGTTTTGTTGCACCTCTATTATTGTATTTCTGCTGCGTAGGATTCTTTCCAATAAAACTGGAGCGTTGTGTTTCATTTTTATTGCAAATTGTCGTGGAAAGAAAAGTTTCCTCCATAAAAACGTGTTTGATGCTCAGATTTCTTCTTCGTCTTCTGAAAACCCCCCCAGAGCACCTGCTGAATATGTTTCCTGGCCAATTTTGAGCTGGAACTGTGTGCTCGTGCTGCTAGAGAATAGGCACACAGCTGTAGGTAATTAATGGGGCGGTCTGGCAGCAGTCAAAATGTCATTTACAAAGCCAACATAACACAATCTACTTCCGATGTATCACTTCACGACTGGAAGCGATGGACACTAAGCCGGTCGACAAAGCTAACAGCTAGCTGGTGATATTTGCAAACCTGAAGTGAACATTGTATTTGAGGTCTCGAAAGACTTTTCTAGGCATGAATAGACCACTTGTATCTTTTTAAATGTCAAAAGTCCTTATGATGGTCGATATTGTTGAGGAATAGCGGCCATCAAGCTCTAATCTCAGTAAACCAGCCGTGGAAAAAGCAGATATTTGGACCACAGCGCGGATACGACGCTGGATGAGTGAGAGGATCGGGGGAGAAAATGGTGAGACGCCGAAAGGAGACAGCTGTGACTGGGTGAAAAGATCAGCTGCGTGCCGTTTGGAGTGGGGAAGCAGAAAGGAGGCGCACAGACGGGGGGCGCGGCTGAGGGCGCCTCGTTACCAGGAGATTCTCCCTTTCATTCCTGCTGTATGACACCGGTCAACCGGTTCCTCCTGCTAGTAGCTTCTTCTGCGGTGTTACCACGGCCTCTACTGAAGCAGTTCACTGGCATCAAATGACTCTGATGCTCTTCCCCCTCGTGTAGTTCTATGCAAATGTGTGTCATAATTATCCAGCTGCATGCCGAGCCACACAGTGGTGGAAGTGCACACACGCTCTCTCCTGACGTTAATAGCATCCCTCATTACGTGTCTGCAGGGACTCTGTCACACGATTACAGCGTTTGTGGGTTTTTTCGGGCGACTAATGTCTCGCTCGAGCCAGTTTATCATCCAGGCTTCAGCTTTCTCCCCCCCCCCACCCTTCTCGCTGCTGTAACCCCCGCCTGTCTCCATGTCTCTGTAGAATACACGATGGAGGAGATGGAGGGGAGGAGCATCTCGGAGGAGCCCGTTCGCAAGTGTCCCGTCCCGGCACCCCGGACCTCCGTTCCCTCGCCCTCTGCGTCCCCCTCCCTCAGGCACAAGAGTGAGTGCACACAACGACGGGGCAGTGGTTGGGTTTCCACGGAGAAGGAAAAGTGTGTGTGTGTGTGTGTGTGTGTGTGGAACGATCCAGCTTAAAGGCGTCCGCGTAGAGCAGCTCCCTCAGTGGAGTTTCCCTGTGCAGCGCTGCCCCCTGTGTCGTGAGTGTAACATTGCACCAGGCCGGGTTCCTGCCGAGGCCGTCGTTCGCTGTGCGGCCTCGTCGTTCTTCCAACACTCCAACGCCTCTTCCTCTCTCCCTGCTCTCCCCCAGACGACGCTGTGACAAGCGAGCTGTCCAAACTGCTCCACGAGATCAAAAAGTGCCGGGACAGGGACTACTCCTTCGAGGAGCTCTGTCACACCATCTCCTCCCACTCGGTGGACAGCTTCGGCAGCGGCCGGCTCTCGGACGAGGAGCGCCCAGATCGACCCAACGGCACCCTGACCCGAGCCCAGGTACCCGTCCCTCCTCGTCGCAACCGTCGACCCGAATCCAGCCGACAGGAATGTTGTGATGAGCTGTGGAAAGTTCACTTCACTTCTAGTGTAGTAGCATCAATGCAACATCACCCATTTTACCATAGAACATCTTTACCAAAACCCCTTTTGTCTTGTGCGTTTGTTCTCAGTACCACGTACGCGCACACACAGCTGCTGCCTTTTACCCTTCTGTGGAAAGAAAACCACACACACACACACACACACACACACACACACACACACACACACACACACACGCGTGTGCGCTGCGTGAGGCCCTGAGGAGGAAGCCGTTCTCTCTCGTCTGCTCGCATCACTGGCTTTTGTGTGGCTTTTTGCCGAGGCTGTGCTCGCTTGTGCTTCGTCTGTTCTCACAGCAGAGGGCAGTGTCACACCGACCCACGTAGCGTTTGGGGGTTTGGACCCAGCAGCTCCTGTTAATCGCTTCCCCGAGTTACTTCAGAGCCGTAATTACTGTTTGTGCTCCCGGCCGGCAGACGTTCTTCTTCTTCTTGACCTTCGGGCCTTCTCACTAGCTGCTCTTTATGGACTGAAGTGCCGCTAGCGGGATCCTCTCCTCTTGTTTTCCGACTCGGTCACACACACGGAGGAAATGGATCTATTTATTGGTTTGAATTGTAGTTTTGCAGCCGAGCCGTCTCCGTCTCATCGCAGAGCCCGCCGGAGCGCCGCCGCCGCCGCCGCCGCAGCTTAGCCGAGCATTTATTCAATTCCACCGGCCAGAAAGTCAGACGCGGGAAGCAGAGGTCATCTATCACGCTGCCCTCCTCCTTCCCACCTGAGCCTTTAGACCGCACGCAAACAAACAACCGCACACACAGAGAAGCATCTAAAAAGTGTTTGTCTGGGCCTCTCGCTCGCTTATTCACAGCAAGTCTGTTTCAATTGTTATTTCTATTTCTCTTCTTCCCGCGGACCTACAGCGAGACACACACACACACCTCTGTGAGGTCATGTTTTGACACTGATCAATAGCTCATCATCTTTTCCATTTCTGTAATCGTCTTTGTATGAAAGCAAGCCGAGAAGTTCCATTTTTTGGGTGGCCGGTGAGGGCAGGAAACACACACATACACAGTAACACAGACTCCCTACCTTGACTTGGGACCCATTGTGTGTAAACAAAACCACAATCAACATTTTCTTCAATTTTATTTTTAAAAAGAAAAATCCCCGCTATTTTTCAACCAAATTTTTGTTTTAGTTTTTTCATGAGATTTTTTTGACCTAAAGTATCCCATTTATGATGACATAGAAAAAGAGGAAGCCACAAAATCTGCTGGAACCAGAGAATGTTGAGCAGTTTGTGCCTTGTTGATTAGTTTTCTGTTGACGTGAAACATTGTCTATTCTCCTTGAACTGTGGAGGTCCGAAATGTGTTTAAAGTGAAGAAGAAATGTTACTCTGCAAGGTTGGTAGTTGGTCACTGATCATGGTTAGGTCACGCTGACAGTAAACTGACAGGAGGTTGGTTCACCAGCTGCTTGTGCATCATTGGTTTTCTGTAAACTTCACCAGAGAACTACATTAACAGCAACCCGTTGCTAACGGTGTTTAAACAAATCCTCCCATGATGACCAATAACTCAAAGGGTTTCCTGTGCTCAGCCACTGTAATAATGATGCATCGCTGTGGAGTGCATGGATGATCAATAACAGGCTTCTTTTCATTGAACGCAGCTGATATATCTGAATGTGACTGTAAAAAGGAAAGGATATCTGTCCATGTGGTGTGTGTGTGTCTGTGTGAGTCTGCGCGGAGGGTCTTTTGCAATCCGGGGCAAGCGGTGACCTTTTGTTTCCAGCTTCATTTTCTGCCTCCAGTCTGGTTGCTGCTCTTTAGTTTTTTCCCGTCTGTAGCTCGCAGGTGTCCTGCGGCACCTCTTCCTCCTCCTAACATGTCCTCCAAAGCTCCTTCTCTTAATCCTCCCTCTCTTTTTTTATTTTTTAAAACCTCCTTTCTAAAGAAGATTTTCCTCTCGTCATCGCCCCCCCTCCATTAAGGCCACACATCAGACACCTCTCCGGTATCCGACCCCCTAATCTGCTGCGACCGGCGGCCTTCGCCGCGTCGCGCGGTTAACCGACATATCAGGGACACCTCGTGGCACAGAGGTCATCCACTCAGCTGCCTCCTGGGGGCCAAAGAGCCCCAGGAAAAGCCCACGTGTGTGTGTGTGTGTGTGTGGGATAAGTTCTTCCTTTAAATTGCTTCACGCACGTTATTTGTTCTTTGGTGAACTAGTGATTCAAACGTTCATTGATTTTTGTCCTGTGTGCACGCAGCGGCCGAGCCCGCCTCTCGCTGTGGCCCTGGAGGAGGAGGAGGCAGAGAAGAGCTGCGGCCCCACTGGATTCTGGGAGGCCCTCACGCCCTGCAACGGCTGTCGCAACCTGGGCTTTTCGAGCCTGTCACAGGTACACACGTGCACACACACGCACGTGCACATAATGGCCCGTAAACATGTACATTTGTCACATGGTATAGACTGATGCATCCACACACACAGTGAAATTACAGGCTAGAGGTTGCAGAGTGCTTTTACTGGTTGCCATGGAAACGCAAGCTAGAGAGCGTTCTCTCCCGGAAGCCGCGGCGGCCGCTCCGTCTCGTCTGTGCTCTCAAACTCTCTGTTCTCTCCACCTTTCATCCTCCCCTTCCATTGTGGTCGGAACTTTGCAAAAAAAATCGTATCTCTCCGGACTTTTCTTTCTCCGCGAGAAGCAATCAGGTCATGAACTTTATACATGATACATCTGATCACATGAAAGAATAATGGTCCCTTGCGGGTAAATACATGTTGGAGCAGCACAGGAATAAATAGCAGAATATAAATGTGACTTTCACTGCTTGTATTGTATTTCTCAGAGAACAAAAAGCAGCATCGATTTTTCTGTCGCACCACTCAAGGTGAAGCCGTTTTATGGACACACAGCCGTCTAGTTGATATTTGCCTTCTGGTCTATGATGTCAAGAATTTGTAAAGGCAGTGAGAAAAGAACTCATGAGCTCAAGGCCACCAGCTGTGAGTTTTTACTTCCAATCTGCCCATTATTTGGGGTCAAAAAGTGAGTGTGCAAAAGGAGTCTCTCGTATATATTTACCCTTCCCTACCAATTCCCTCAAATCTATTTATACATGTGTACATTTTCTGTTGTTTTTTCTTACATCTGTTTACTCTTATTTATTATATACTATATTTTGGATACATTTCTAGAGGCAGGAAGAGGTTGAGGTCTGTTATGTAGTGTAATCGTTTTTTGAAATGTAATCTAATAAGCGCATATAAAGTGTGCATATGGAAAACTAGAGTGTTTGAAAAGTGGGCCCTAGTCTGAATGGGGGAGAAGAATTGTTTTATTTGAAAGTCTATCGGCTCAACGAGAACGCTTTGAAGTGGCTCCACAGCCATGGAGAGAAAGCTCAGTTCAGCTCTTCTTAATCCTGTGCATCTTTCACACCCGAGAACCTCAATGCTCCGTGTAGCTTCACACACCGTATGTTGTATGTAGCGTATATCGCAAAACATCCCCGATGACCGGGTGTGAGTCTCCTTTCCGTTCTAGTGTTCCTGCTCCTCTGCTCCCCTCGGCCCCCCGCGTGCTGCGTATGTATAAGTGCGCTTAACTGTGTGCGAAGGAGATTGTTTAGCGGTGGGACGCGAGTTGCCTCAAACAGCAGGACATCTGACATTAACAACACAACGGACCCTGTGTCTCGTACACTGGCAGCCTTCCTGCACGACTGGCTCGCTGCCCGGAGAGGTTTGCACCTGGACGAGTGTGTGTGTGCGTGCATGTGTGTGTCTGTGTGTGTGTTTACGTGTGTGTGTAAGTGCCAATTTGTATGTGGCCAGAATACAAAAAGCCTCTTTGCATGTCAGTTTAAATGTGTGTGTGTGTGTGTGTGTTCAAGTTCAAGTTCAATTTTATTTATATAGCACATTTAAAAACAACCTCAGTTGACCAAAGTGCTTAACAAGCTCGAAAAGCAGCGATACAATAAAACACAGACAGAGCACAATGTACAATACAAAATAACTGACAGTAGAGAAGAACAAAAGTCAAAATATCAAAGCTCAACTAGAATTAAAAGCCAATGAATAATAGTGGGTTTTAAGGAGGGACTTGAACGTTGCAATGGTCCGAGCTGTTCTTACATGGATAGGTAAACTATTCCAGAGGTTTGGAGCAGCCACTGAAAAGGCTCGGTCACCTCTGGATTTTAACCGGGATCCAGGCACATCGAGGAGCATCTGATTAGACGACCTCAGTGCTTTGATAGGTGTGTGGACATGTAAGAGCTCCGACAAGTAGGAAGGCGACAACCCATTTAAAATTTTAAAAACAATTAATACAATTTTAAATTCAATCCTGAAACAAACAGGAAGCCAGTGGAGGGTGGCCAAAGCCGGTGTAATGTGGTCGCGTTTTTTTGTCCTGGTCAAAAGTCGAGCTGCTGCGTTCTGGACTAACTGCAAGCGACGAAGGGATGACTGATCCAACCCAACATACAGTGAATTGCAGTAGTCTAAGCGGGAAGTAATGAATGCATGCATGACTCTCTCAAAGTCTTTGCGTAGCAAGTAGGGCTTGACTTTAGCCAGAAGTCTCAGCTGGAAGAAGCTAGTTTTGACAACAGAACTAATCTGTTTGTCAAGTTTAAAAGCACTGTCAAAAATCACTCCCAGATTTCTGGTAAAAGGACGAATTTGGGAGCCTAAAATACTGAGAGAATCTACACAGGCACTGAGATGTTCAGCACGTCCAAACACAACAACCTCGGTCTTACTGTCATTAAGACAGAGAAAATTCTGATCCATCCATACTTTGAGATCACTCAAGCAGTTTATCAGCGGCTTGATAGTGTCCTTCTTATTGTTTTTTACAGGCAAGTAAATTTGCACATCATCAGCAAAACAATGGAAAGAGATGTTGTGTTTTTTAAAAATGGACCCTAAGGGCAGCATATACAGAGAAAATAGCATTGGTCCCAAAATGGAACCTTGGGGGACCCCACAGGACAGAGGGGCAACAGATGAAGAGCAGTTACCAATGTGGACAGAAAAACTCCTATCTGTCAAGTAGGATTCAAACCATTTTAAGGCTATACCTGTAATGCCAACACTTTGCTTGAGTCGGGATAAAAGGATAGAGTGGTTGACAGTGTCAAAGGCAGCAGTCAAATCTAAGAGCACTAAAACAGCAGAATTTCCTGAATCTACAGCTAAGAGGAGGTCGTTATAGACTCTTAGAAGGGCAGTTTCAGTGCTGTGGCGGGGCTTAAAGCCAGACTGAAACTTTTCATGAATACTAAAATCATCTAAAAATGATTGAAGTTGATTAAAAACCACCTTCTCCAAGACCTTGGATAAAAAAGGTAATTTAGAAATAGGTCTAAAGTTAGACAAAACTAACGGATCCAGATTTTTCTTTTTTAAGAGTGGTTGCACAATAGCATGTTTAAAAGCGGCTGGAACACACCCTGAGCTGAGAGATGAGTTAACCAAGGTGTGTGTGTGTGTGTTCAAATGAGTCTCTGGATGTTGGCATGGCTTCATTCTGTGTGGGTGGGTTTGTGTGTTTGTGTATGTTTGTGTGGCTTCATAGAAGAGGGAGGAGGAGGAGGAAGGAGCGAGGAAGAGAAATTGAGTCGTTATCACATAATTGAGTTAGCGCGGTGCTAATTTGCCCAGTGTCATTATGAACAGAGTTAACATGAAGAGAGCAGCCTGTGCGTCCCCTCTGAGGACGAATGGAGGAAGACAAACGTCTCTCGTCCTTTCTTCTCATCATCCCGCACAAGAGCCTTCAACCGAATTATTATTTTTTTTAAATTCTCTCATCCGTCTCTGCCTCATGCTTGTCTCTCTCTGGCCCATCTTTCTCCCACTTTATGTATCTGCAGAAATGCGTTAACCTGAGGTTGACCAGCTGTCACTCAAAACTGTCACTCACAGGGCTGAACCGGTGTAACGCGTCACACAGAAAGGATTCCTGCTCTTTGCACTTATTTTAGGCTTTATCTCAAGTGAAAGTATCAACAGTAATTTGCGTACGTCTGTGGACGGCGTGGGGATTTAGGTGGAATAGTCTTGAAGCGGTTCTTTCTCACGCGGAACTGAAGCCTTTATCTCCCTTCAAAGCCACCAGACTCCTTTGACAGAAGTCCTTTTTTCCCTGTACATAAATAAATAACTGCTGCATTGGCTTCAGCTCCCCATCGGAAAGCGCTGCCTCACAGCAAAGCAAGGCAGAGGAAATATTCTAAATATAGAATATTGATTTTCCTAGGTGAGCTTTTTCTGTCCCCTGCAGCACATTGTTAGCTTCTGTCTGCCGTTCTCTAAACTGGGGGCGTGTGAATATGTAAACCTCATATTTACGGTGCATGTGTTGATACTCGACGTTCATTTCTGCAGTGAGGAAGCTTTCCGTTATCCGCCGTGAGATATTTATGTTTGTCTGCTCCCTAATCTCACTGCTTTCCCCTACATTTTATAGTTCAGAAGAATCCCAATCAGAAGGCTGATTTGTTCCTTTTTATATTGTCCCGAACTGTGAAATACAATTCTAAAAGCAGCGATACACTTCCAAGCCTTCAATTGTTGTGTGTAAATTATTATTAACTTTTTCCAAATAATGTGTTTTTTATTTGACATTTTTTGGGCGTGTGGCTGCATATACCTAAAGCACCATTTTTACATTTTTTTTTTATACATAATACCGTGAAATATAACTTCAATCTAAAGTGACTCCTCCGTTTAAAACAATTTCAACAACAACTGAACAATTTAAATACTGATTGCATAAGTATTGCATTAGCCTGCATCATCCTCGGCTTCTCTAGACTGGCAAAAGCGTTTCTGTGAGTGGAAATGTGCACGTGTCTCAGCAGGTGCACTCGCAAAATACATTCATGTGATCATTAGTGTGTCAGTGTTTGCGTACCCACAACTCACCTGTCAGGTTATTCAGATAAACAGAATGAGAACGGCGTGTCTTTAGCGTCACATGTTTATGTTTGTGTGTGTGTGTGTGTGTGTGTGTGTGTGTGTGTGGTGCATGTGGGCATACGTGGCTGCATAAGGACGCTTCCCTTGCTGTGAATTTTCGTTGCCAGGCGCAGGTTTCCTCCCACCATCGCCAGCTGACGCCATAGTGTGTGTGTGTGTGTGTATGTGTGTGTGTGTGTGGAGGTTTCCTCTGCCGCCCCCACCACTTAGACCAACAAGTTCAAACCTCACCTTGGAAGCAGCGTGAAGAGAATTGGGGGTGAAAAAAAAAAAAAGGGAAAAGATGAATAAATGCAAGGAAAAGATTCAGATTCAGAGAGGACGGCAGGGTTGCTAGGCAACACAGGAATTCATAACTGATCGGGCGTGTGATGTCCACCATTGACAAAACTCGGTGCACAT